GATGTTCTATAACAGTAACTCTTACCTCATTACATCCTGTAACTAGAAGTAAGTATAAGTTTGTGTTCCTTGACTCCAAAAATGAAAATGAACGAACAGTCTTAGCAAAATCATTCCTGGCAGAAAGATACAGCGAACCTCCCTGCAGGAGCCACATTGGCCCAGGTGAGTCTCACCTGTGTTGCTTGAAGGAAATTGTTTTAAACTTCATGGTCCAGCAGTTCTCGTTCTTTGCCTTCCTTCAATTACTCAAAATCATGAAGGATTTCAGTTTGCTTAACATTTGGCCAGGCCTTTCTTATTCAGCAATTTGTCTCCCCCAGAATTATTTTAACTGCCTAAAAACGTACCGAGAGACATTCCTTATACTTCCCTTATCCCTTCACTCTGGTTTGCTAGCTCCTTAATTTTATTTTGGTTGAACAGGATTAACTTTCTTCTTGACAGCTTTGTTTTCAGGACCTTATGGCTTTTTCTTCTAACTTGAATGGATCATCTTTCAGGTTTCTTTTCTTTTCTTTGATTTGAGAAGAGGTTTTACTTATGGGCTCAAATGATCCTCCCACTTGAAGCATCCTGGGTAGCTGAGACTACATGTGTGCACCACCATGCCTGGCTCTGGCCTCTCAGGTTTCTTACGCTGCTGCCCCATTTCATTCTGGGATTTCTTTTCATTCCATACCTGGCTTAGTTCTGCTTTTCACTCAGACCAGTTCTTCTTTCTTGGATTCCTTTCCTGTTTTGCTGGATATACCTCTATTTCCTTTTCTCTTTTTTATAAGTCAGAGAGAAAATAATGTCTTATGCCCTTGCATGTCTGAAACTGTCTTTATTTGGTATAGAATTCTAAGTGCACAATTGTTTTCCCTCAGAAATTTGAGGGCAATTGCTCCACTTCCCTCCAGTGTTGCTAATTCCAAACTGCCAACAATAACTTGAGGTTCTTTTTGATAATGTGCATTTTCTCTCTGGGAGCTTCAGAATCTTCTCTTTCCCTTGAGCTCTGAAATTTCAAGAGGATGCACAACTGCAGATCTGTTCCCATGTCCCCTGCTGAACTGATAGGAACAGAGCTCAAAAGAAGGCCTCGCTCTGTTATGATGAATGTCTCCTCTCACATTCCTTTGTTCCCTCTTTCTGGGTTGACTCTTAGCTGGATATTGGCATTTCCAAACTGATTATCCATGAGTCTCGGTTTTTCTCTCACTTTTGCATCTAAACCATGTCATGGGAAACTGCCTTGACTTTTTCTTTAACTCCTATTAGATTTATAATTTAAGCCACTGAGTTTTTAATTTCCAAGAGAGATTTCTTGTCCTATTCTCCCCTTCATAGCAGCCTATTCTTATTTTATGAAAATGGTACCCTGTCAAGTCTCTCTAAAGGTTTTATTTTAATTATATTTAAATATTTTCTTTCACTCCATGACCCCAAGGTCAGTTGCCCTTTTTGTTCATGTTGGTTCCTGTCTTTTGTGTCTTCTGATCTCTGTTGTCCACTGCACTTGCTCTTCCTAGTGCTGTCCTGCACTTGTGGAAGCCACCTGGACCAACCATTGTAACAACTTCAGGAATCTAGTCACCACATGCTGCCCTCTGTCACCCACTCCATGCTCTGTGACTTATGAATCCACAGGATGGAGATTTGTGTTCAGTGCAGTCTCCAGACCCCATCATGAGCACAGGCTGCCTCCTTTCTGCACATGGGCACGAGGCAAAGCCTCCATGGTGGAGCTGGGCCAGGAGGGTGGGCATGCTGCTGACATCAGCATCCTATTGGTGAAGAGTTTCTAAGGAAGACCCTGATAGAAACCCTGGGACTTCTCCCACAGGCCACTCATAAACAGGACTCTAGCCATCACCAGCCCATATGAACTGCTGCTTCTCCAAGCACATGAAGGCAAAGATACACATGGTACATGGAAAACAAGCTGAGCTTGCTCTGTGTCCAAGTCAGACCATTCACTAACAATGTCACCTGTAGATGTCCTAGTTACAGGGGTGCTGGCTGACCAGACTCCTGGAGCACCAAGCAAGATTCTGCCCTTTGATCAAAGGCCCTACAGCACTTGGCCACTCAGGCCACAACACTTCCAGAGTTGCTGATCCACAGTCCTACCAGAGACACATGTCATAGACCCCCATCTCAGCTGAGAAACTTCCAGGTTGTGGTTCCAGACACCTTGAGCCTGCTCAGCAGCCAGCAATTCCTTGTGGACCAAGGAGCTTATGCAGGAAACATAAGAGGGGCACAGTGGGCTTTCTCATGGATTTAGAGCCACCAAAGTAACCCCGGTGTCATGGTGTACCTCCCTTTCTCCCTTTGCAACTGTTGATTCCCTGAAGTCGCTATTCACATGATGTCTTAATCTTACAAATAAGTGAACTGGGGCTCAGAAATGAGTATGTTTGTCAAATTCTCCCAAACACAAACAAGACTAGCTAAGGAAATTAGTTTTCTTTACTATTTTAATTTTTAAATTTAACCTATACTTTGATCTAGAAACCTGATTAGAAGTGCAGTGATTGTTTGACCAAAAATCTTGGTCCAGAAAGGATCTGAGATGGCTTTGACACCCTCAGAATGTGCTGTGGCTTGAGTTGAGCCTGCTCCACACTTTCTAAAAGCTTCTTTTGCTGGTACCAAGATTACCCTGTCCCTCACGCAGTGCCAAGCTGTCCCTGCTCTAGCTTGGGTCCCACTCCAGCTAGGAGCAGAGGCTCCAGGTCTTTTCCTGGCCCTTCTTATGCACAGTCCTGAATCACTCTGAAGGCCTGTCCCTCAGCAGGCTGGAGACAGAGGATACACAGAGGCAGCAGGGGACAAGGTACATACCTGCATTCAGTTCAGAGCCCCACAAAAGCCCTCAGGGTCTGAGGAGTCCCCTTCAATGGGAAAGCAGATGAAAGAAGGCCAGCAGTGGGAGATAAGCAGTGTGGCACTCACAATTCTTCCACTCAGGGTAGTGCCCTGTCCCATCCACCTCTAGTCCTTCCCATGCTCCACTCCACGGCCCACTCTGTTTTACAAACCAGTGCAATGTGAAATCGCCTAGTCCAAGATGGAAGATGGAATGTGTTAGCTGCGGCTAGAGACAGCAATGAATTTAACAAATAACTTTCTAGAAGCTCTCATTCAAGTTTACAAATCAGGCCCATAACAACCCCCATTCTCTATCCCCGCAGATGGAGATGGCCAGCAAAGAACATCTATCTCAGCTTAATCTTGTTCATGCAGTGTGGAAGTCTCAGACGGAACCTAGGTTTCCCAAATTACCTCCAGCTACAGAGGGAAAAGACCCATCCTCATACATGTCCACTTCGAACAGACTCCAAGTGGAATCAGGGGTCATCACAGCTGAGAAAAACCAACCTGTCCTATACCTCACTCAAAATGCAAGGACCCATGGCCCACTCTTGCCCAAGGCCATCACTGGGTGAGAAGGACAATATTTCAAAAAAGAAAACCAGTGTTTTCACATTGTCAGCAAATTAGTTTTCACCCCTAAGTTCTTTCACCATTAAAATCAACCTGAGACTGAGTTTTATGGCCTGGAGGTGGAGGAGTGGGGCACAGAGCACCAAGGTGTTAAATTCTTGGCTCTTGAAACTCAGGGCAGAGACAATTTTCTGGAAACTAAGGTTTTCAATTTGCAGAAGACAGCCTTTTGGAAAAAATAATTTATTTCTAAAGCCCTAAAATCTTGGCTTTTCATAGCAAGAAATAGAGCTATGGAGCCCATAAAGTTTAGCACAGAAGCTGTGGAGCTGGGAAAAGCACTGGGGAGGAGGGGTGATTAAGAGCTAGGGTTTCCCTCCCCATGGGAGACTGATTCACTTGGCTGGGGAAGAAGGAGTAGGAATGGGAGAGACAATCACTAAAAGACACCCTATGGTCAGTGCGGGTCCCAGGGGCTCAGAGCTGCTAGAGAGCTTCTGAATCTAGCCACTTGTGGGTCTGGTGGGCAGGAAGTGACATGGTGTGCATAGGCATGGGGGTATCCAGGCAGAATCTGGGCACCATCAATGAGCTTCCTCCACCTCCTGGCCTGTGATTCTGTAGTCCATAACTCTGGACTCATGGTCGGCCACCTCCTTGTAGCTAGTTATTTTCTGGTGCCTTAGTTTCCTCATCTAAAAAAATGGGAATAATAATAATAGAGCTTACCACACTGACTGGTCATGAGGATTAAGTGAGATGGTTCCTGGAAAGTCCTAGAATGGAGTATGACATATACAAAGTGCCTCCTCCTGGCCCCCCACCAAAAAAAAAATGTGGCTCTTATACCATTGCTGATGATGACACACTGGCTTTGAAATCAGCTTACTCAAGGAAGCAGGGCAATCTTTCATTCCGGCTAATTAAAACATCCAAGTCATTGCCATCTTTTCAAAAACTGCCACTTACAGCCATCACATGGTGGCTTGGGTGGTTTACAATCACATTTCGAGAAATTTCAGAGCATTTCTCTCAATCTACAAGCCAAAAAAGGGAGCACATCTTGTGACAACATCAGTCTTTTTGCAGGAAGCTGGGGTGCAGACCCTTGCCTCTGTGTGACCCTCACTAATTCAGAGGGAAGCTGTGGGTGGCCCTGGGCTTTCTTCAACACTCTTTTAACTTCTAGAAAGTTGGGTACAAGGCTGCTCATCTTGGGAGCCTGCGTAGATGTGTTCTGTGCATATCTAGGCATGTACATATGCATTCATTGGTATTTCCTCCTCCTCCCTGCCACCCCAGCTCTCTGAGGAGCTCCAAACAGAGCAGAAGTCACTGTAAAGTACAACCTCCTGTACCCAAGAGGCTAAGAACCCAGCCAGCTCAATACTTCAAAATGGAAAGCTGCCATGAGAGCTGGGAGTGGTCACACTATCAGGGACCACATGGTGGGACTGTATTTTCCTTTCTGTTCTTAGAGAGAGTGTCATGTGCCCCATGGCCAGGGCTGCCATGCTCGAGCCACAGTCTGCCACTTTTTACCTCCTGCCCCTTATCTAGGGAGGGCACACTGAGAACACAGGCAGCTCCTCTGGCCAGCGCAAGGCTCTCAGCCTGACCATCTTCTTCCACTCTTCCTCCTCAACATTTTGTCCCAAGGTTTGGGCTCTTGTTTTCTTTCCTGCAGTCGAAAGCTCTTTGCATCAGTGAAGACGAAATTTGCTGTGAGTATCATGCACTCCCCACAGGGCGCATGGACAAAGTATACATTTATTTTGAATTTTTAATTATAATGGCAATTAAATTTTTTGCTATCAATTTGGTGCAGCTTTTTTATATATTTAATTCTTTCAGAGTGATTTCTACTCTGTTATTATTGTTTTAAATATTTTAAATACATACTAACAAGTTATATTTATAAGTAAAGATATACACTCATAATTTAAGGCTTTGTGTGTGTGTGTGTGTGTGTGTACACTACTGGTGTTTGAACTCTTGAGCCATGCCCTCAACCCTATTTAAGGCTTTTTATGAAAAGTAGCAGGTTCCAGTCACCTTCTCCTATTCTTTTCCTAGAAGTTATCCCTTGCCACTCTTTTAGTTGGTTATTTGGAAATTTACCTAAAAGTCTTCCTCTTATTTTTTGAAGTAAACCTTGAAGACGAGAATTTAGCTCTTTTATATACTCCCCTTGCCCCAACTCAACAGGCACTCCCTGTCCACCCCATTTAGTATAGCTGAACTTTGTTTTGGTTAGTGCAGTGTTCAGTGTGCATGTTGTCAGGCTTTATAAATGCTGTCACAGCCAAGCCACAAAGGATACTGTGAAGAGTTCTTTTCCTAGGCTTCTTTTCCCCCTACTTGAGATCATTTTTGGCAATGGACAAACAGCCTGTCTGCAGAGGAGGAAGCAAAGGTCTGCAGGAGGTTGGGGTCAGACTGCTGTCAGTCTGGGGTCCAAGGGGTCCTTCTACACCCAAAAGAAGGGTGAGGCTCTCTTTTTGCCCAACCCTGGGGCCTGGCAGGATGGAGTACAAGGCAGCAATTCCTCAGGTGGGAGCCACTGGGATGGAGAATGTGACACAGACATCTTAAGGGATAAATGCTGCCTGAGGTGGAGTAGGGGGAGAACTGGAGCCATAGAATCACAGAGAATCACTTTCTATGTTTTTTTTTTTTTTCTGAAAAGTTGCCACTGTGTTAGAGTGGAGGCTAGAAAGCCAAAGACAAAAATAACCATGTGCATACAGTGCCATCAGAAATAACTTCAGATACAGGAAGGAAGAATGAGACCTGCTGGAGTTCTGTCCACACAGGGCCTCTGGTTTTGTACTGTACTTCCTGGAGCTCAGCAGCAGGACCCAAAACCTGCTGGACAACACAGGCTTCAGGCTCCTTAGAAGCAAGGAGGTTCAGACAGATACAGCTACTGATCAAGTGGGGCAAGAAACCCAGGGGTGCACTTTAGAAAGCTGGCATTGTTCTGCAATGGGCTGTGCCATGGGCCTGGGCTAATCTTGGCTTTGCTCCTTCTGTGAGGCCTCAGGGAGGTCACTTGCCCTCTTAGAACCTTAGTTTGTAAGGTTGGGTGCAAGGCTGCTCCCCATCGTGGGAGCCTTGCAGATGTGTACTGTGCATGTGTGGATGTGCACATGTGCATTTATTTGCGTTTCCTCCTCCTTTCTGTGACTCCATCTCTCTGAAGACCTCCGTATAAGCAAAAGTCACTGGCTAGCAAGGAACAGTCACCCTGCACTCATCTGTATGATGGCCCTTATTATGTAGGGCTATGATAAGGATGGAGATAAATGATATCAGAACAACAAAAGAAGCAGGGTAGAGTTTATATTGCTACCTAGGACTGGTGGGTGGCCCTTTCCGGGTGGAACAAGATTGGAGCCAGTATGACACAACATAAGCTGGCCTCATTCGGCCCTGGAACAGAGGACAGCAAAATCCCTGCTGTGGAAACGGAAACATGGCCAGCTGTTGTGAATGTTTTCAGTTAGCTGGAGATGCTGGGTAGGCCTGGCAGCTTCTCAGCCAGGCCTAATGGTCAAGAGTACAGAAGGTCCTGAGACAGAAAGGATGTCCTCGCCAAGCCTTGAGCCCACCCAGGCAACCTCTGCCTTCTGCATTCTATGGTCCTGCAGTCACTCAGCTTCTAGACCTGCTGGGTACTGATGGGTATAGACTCCTTTTACACCCAATGAGACCGTGTAAGCTCAGGGACTAGACTTGTCCCTCCAGTAGCTCCAGACAGACCCCCAAAGAATGGGCAAAGGGCTGGGCACAGAGTCACCAGTGAGGCCAACAGAGACTGTCATAACCATGTGAGGATTATGCCAGCCTCCAGTGATAAGCCTGTGACAAAGCTCATGTTAAGCCCATGAAAGCCTCAAGTCCTATACACAAAGCAGCAGCAGCAGGTGCACTCCTTCCCTCCAGACTGTGACAGACCGACAGTGCTCAGAGGGCAGCAATGTGTGTGCACGCCCTCCTTGCCCTGAGCCTTACACATGCTGGTTCCCGTCATGGGACTCTGTCGGCTGCTAACTGAACTCAGGAAGCCACGCTGTCTGCAGTGTCTCTGGCTGCAGTAGGTGCTGAACTCCTCAGGTGGGTTTTAGTGGTGGGTTAGGTGTAGCTCGAACGTTCAAAGATGAGCAACATCTTGACAGGGGCTGCGGGAAATAAGGAATGCAGATTCACAGGGCTGGCAGTCTGCACTACGACATTTATCCCACATGGCGTGGGAAGTAATGAGCTCGATCCCTGGGCCTTTCCTCAACACAAATTCTCCGGCAGCTTAGCAAGTTCTTAGGGAGAAAGCAAATAAACAACACTTAGTTTGGAACTAAAGTGAATACCACTCAATCTTTCTTTGAGCTCCAGAGGCATGCCAAGCTCTAGCAGAAACTTAAGACCAGTAGTAACAATTGCAAATTGAGTTGTAAAATAAAGCAGACCTAAAACCTCTCGTTATGTGGGTTTTAATAGCGAGGACAGTGTTTCTAAGCCTTTATTTCGGACTCAGCATTTCTTTTTCTTTCTTTCTTTCTTTTTTTTTTTTTTTTTTTTTTTTGTGTGTGTGTGTGCAGTTCCTCCATTTTCCTTGCATTTCTGAGGCCTTGAAACCAATACTGAAATGTCCTGGTCTCATGGCAGAAAGTGACAGGAACTGTAAGATTCTCAGTGGGGGCTTGGTGTCCAGGCCTCCTGGACAGAATGGTGGAGTGTGGGGATGGGAGAGGCATGTGATTTATCTTTTAATGCAAGAGCCTCAAGTCTCTCACAGAGAAATGGGGTCACAGGGCTGTTAGGGGCCTGAGGTTACACTTCACAGTCCAAATTCCCTCTGCAGCCAAAAGCTCCGGGGGCCCTGCTGTAAGAAGTCTTCATAATTAGATAGTCTTGCAAAGCAGGCATGTAGGAGAAGTCTACTTCCACTACAAAATGGATTTTCCTTTGTGACAGACCCAATCTAAAACACCTACTGTTTGTCTACTGTATTCCAGGCATTGGGGACACAGCTATGTTATCACCAGCTGCCCCTCTGCTGGTGAGGCACCTGTCTGTGGAGTTCAGGCAAACTGGGCACTTTGGATGCACCCACAAGGCCCACTGAGCCTGGACATGGGGGAGTCTTGAATACTCCTAGGTGGAGTTACATGGAGGCTGCACCCACAGTCTCAGAGGAGGGAGATTCCATGGACAGCCTCAGTGGCACGGCCTGAAGTCCAGCTACCTGCCACAGGGAGAGGTCAGACTGGAGGCCCCTGCAGCGTATTTCCACAGGTAGTACCAGATACCACAGGTCAGTGGCAGAGCCAGCTGACGGGCAGACAGCAAAGCAACCAAGTAGAAACCACCTTGTAAGCAGTAGCTGCAGGGACACCGCAAGATTAGAAATTCACAGAGGAGTGAAGGGCCTTCATGTGAGAGACATGGAGGTCCCCAGGCCTGCCTCCCAGCCTGCCATGCAGGGAGTGCTCACTCCTTTCACCATCTTTATGACAGAGGGCCTTGTAAGGTTTCATATGCAACTTTTATAGGGAAGACTCTGGGCCTACAAATGAGACCCTCTAAGCCACCTCATACCTTGCCTTGCCTGTTCATCCTAAAGTGCATTTCCTAGCAGCTGAGCTTTTCAAGGCGCCTGCCATCTTCTCTCCAATTTCAGGTCAGTTTTACAGAACAGGGAAAGAGACTTCACTAGTCGCAGAGTTCAAGAAGCCTGAAGGGCATGAGTGCAGGGGTAGAGTGCACTGAATCCTGGGGACAGACTTGGCCAGGGACATGGATCAGTGTGCCCCATTAGATCACTCACTGGTGGGAGATGAAAAAGAGTGTGTTTGAGATCTGACATCAGTAGCTTCAGAGTGAGCTAGGAACAGCAGCTTTGATAGTGTTTTTTTTTTTTTTTTTTTACCACTTATTCCTAGTTTGCTCCCCAGTGCCCTGTCTCTGCTCTATTAGGGCTTCCTGGTTGCTTGTCTGCCTCTTCCCAACTGTGAGCCACCACTCTACTTTCTCCCGCTCCACCCCAACATGCAGCTCCCAAAGGCAGAGGTCAGTTCCTCTCTCCAGGTGTGATCGTCAGTGCCTCTCGTAGGCTTTGCTGATAAACATTCTTAGAGGCGGTAACTGGCAATATCAGACGGGATGGTTGGCCTGGGTGGCAGTCAGGGGGTAGAGTTCTAAGGGAACTTGGCCTTCCAGGTCTGTTTCATAGGACACAGTTTAGAAGGTGCTGATTTCAGCTAAGGTTTAGAGCTCTGATATCTTCCTTTGTTAAGCAAAGGAATTGTTCCTTGGACTTTGCCTTCCCAAATAACCTAGCCATTTCCCCACACCTGCTAGGCCCGCTCATGGGCTCCATAGCCCTGGCTTCTTGCCCATCTCTTTTCTGAAGATTTGCCTCCTCGGGCCTCACTCTCCAGCCTAGTCCCCCATGCCCCAGGATGGGGCAGAATCGGTATGGAGACACCTACACTGAGGTCCCCAGTGGCTCAGGCCAAATGGCACCCCTGGACTTTCCCAAGGACTCGCCTTCCTCCATCTTCTTGGCAAAGCAGCACAGCTCATGTCCCAGATGACTACTCAGCTCTGGCCCCAGAGCAGCTCCCCAGCCAACCATTCTGTGGTCAGCTCAGCCTGGAACCATGTGCAACTCTCCCAGAGCCACCTCCCCTCTACTTGGTCTGTCCTCATAACCCACTGG